GCGCACTGAGACAGAAATGACACAGAGCTTCTGACTCACAAATTACTCCCCTTGTTTTAAGAATGAAGCAATAAAATCTCTCTCCTGATGATAGATTAAAACCTGTTCACCAGATTGGATAAGCATGGGCATGTGCTATACCTTCTTCCTTCAAAATGAACGGCATAGAAATTTACTAGCTGTATCATGTTGTAATACAAATTTCAAACTTAACTTTAATTTACCTTCTATACTGATAATCTTCATACTCTCTAAAATAAAAAAGAACACATTCTTCTCAGTATATTGCAACTTTCCTGTTGACCTAGGTCATAAGATTCATTAATGGACATTTGTTAAAGGCAAACACTATTCTTTCACATTGTCGCTAGTCACTAAGACAGAAATAGTATTTTGAGTCAGAAGTAAGTAAAAAACAATCAGAAATTAAGGCAACTTTTCAAAGCTGAATTAAACGATTTTCTAAATTAAATGAGAGATCAAAAGCAGATTTGGGTACGTTCTGAGTCAAGTTCTTCAGTCAGGCTTCTCCCTTCCCTCCACTGGAGGAGGATCAACCCCAGAAGGGTCTGAATGTACTTGTGAATTGTACTTGGTTCTACCTTTGTTGTATATTTCCATTGCTTGAAATATAAAACGTCTTTGGGAAACTTTGAGTTATAGCACGCACTTTTCAGATGTCTTTCTCTCGCATCCAGATCCCAAGGGACTCCTACCCTATTAAAACTTTTAGACACTTCAGACTCTTCAGACTCTGTTTGCCAAAATGCAGTCATGCTGGCAATTTTTTGAGTCAGCAAACACTATTTGAAGACACATCTTTTTGGTCTATCCTTGTTCTCGTTCTTCCTCCTCCCATACCCCCTCCTGGCACAGTGGATGGGGCCCCTCTAGCATTAGGCAGGCAGGAGAATGAGAAGACTCATTGTGGTACCAGAAAGAAGCAAGAAGCCAGGAGCAGGTAACAGCGAGCATCTGCGTAGAGCCCTGTGACTGTTACAAGTGCTACAAACGTATAGGAGGATGTTCAAAGGCATCCCGTGATTTTTGGAGGTTGAGTTGTGATTTCATTGAAAGGCTGACTATTGTGTGACAGATTCTTATTTTAGAAATAAGTGAAGAATGAAATGGGTACTGGAAATCAGCACTGTGAATCTTCAACTTAACATGTATCTGTTTAAATTGTGAGAAAGCATTTTCCTCTCCTACTCACAAATTTACTCTTCCTGTGCTTATATTTCTGTGAATCTGTTTTGACGGAGTTAAGAAAAATATCCATGGGGCAGGTTTGTTGTGTTGTATTGTAACCAAAGTGGCTTTGTTGAAGACAATTATCACTTCACACTGCAATGCTAAATGAGGTACTTCAAGTCTGTTGAGAATTCAGCCACACTGACACTTCAGGGTTCAGCATTGTAATGTTTCTGTCACAAGCAGGGTGGGGTGACAAGATGCTATCAATTGTGCTAGTTCTAGTCTAGAAAAAAAGAAGCGATACACAGAGAAAGCAGTAATTACCTCTATTCTCATTTTTCAGAGCCTGTTGGAAGGGATGGTAGTTTTCTCAATCATTGCAAAAATATTATTGAAAGGAACCAACTCAAAATTCAGGAGAGAAAGATAGAAAAGAAGTGATGTTTCTGAAATAACAAATTTTTCACAACAGGAAAAAAATAATCAAATGCCATTTTAATAATTGTTCTGGCATAGATCTCAATGGAGTACCTGAAAAATTGACATACTCACATTTACAGATTTTCTTTGCTTCTTTGACTACAGAGTTCAAAGAAAATACTTCATGTAATGCATTCTGCAGTCATTTTTTTAATTGCTAGCAAGCAGAGCTGTTTGGAAACAGCATTGTATGTACAACTGTACCTGTAGGCAATGTGTACAAAAGCACAGTAACAGACACTTCCAAAATGTGCATATGGGGTTAGCAACGTAAAGCTCCAGACAGATTAACTAATTCCCACACATAGAATTTGAGAGGAGGTATACACAACTTAGGTTACTTCCACAAAACAGGCTTTGAGTAGTAGTCCTGGGCAATAATGAACTGAAATGAACCTCTCTGACAAGAAGGAGTTATAGCCTACCTGGGAATACCTTCCCTGCACAACGAAAAAGAACAGGCTGTAGCTTGCATTTTCTGCCAGAAGGCAAACTCATGCTGTCCACACCACACACAGCAATTTAAGACACTGAGCGAAGAGTGTAAATCAAACACCAGCATCAAATCTACTATAGATTAGATTATTATTTTTCCGGCAGGGTACCTGTATCATCTGGTGATGTCCACATCAGGCAAATGCCTTCAGGAAATAAAAACCACAATGGATTTAGAAGGCCTGTGAAATGTTATGCTGTGTAGAGAGATTGCCAAACAAAATGAGAAGCAGGGAACCAGAAAAATGCAGAAATAAAAGGGCAACTTGATCGTAGTCAACAATCACCACTGAGAACTGCGAAAGAAGGGCTTTAAGCTTTTGTGTTTTGTGGGTGTAAAATATCCAGGAATAAAAATGATTCAAGACTGATAAGAGCAGAGGAATCTAAAACTCTGGCTGGCATCCAGGAAGAATTAGTGGCATAAAACTAAAGAGGAGTTCTGAGAACATGTGGGCTGACATGGAATTAAGGCTGGAGAGAGAGAAAAGGAGGCAAAATGGAGAAAAAGAAGGATAAGGCAGCGTCAGGCAATTGACAACTTCCTAAACCGTTACAGATAGATTTACAAGATTATGTCAATCTGTTCTTTCCTGTAAAGTCTCTCAAGGAGCCACTAAAGCCACAGGGCTCCTGCAGTCAGTAGGGCAGGCAGTATGGAGCTAGTCCACACTGAACTTCACAGATTTTCTCATTTGAATGCTGCACACAACTTTACATCACATACTATCAGTCTCACCAGCTGGACCGCGCTGATTGACATTCAGACCTTCAATCTGCTACTTTCTCTGATGAGTGCTAACAACTGAGGATTTTTTTCCAGGTAATTAGCTAAAATAATGTGCAGACTGTATCAATGTATCCTCTTGTTGGTTTAAAAATTGGGGTAGGGGTATAGCTAACCTTGAAGGTACAGGATTTGGGAAAGAAATCTTGAACTTCAGCTGGCTACACAGAGTTAAAAATAGAACTAAATTAACAGCAAGTGCATTAATAAGGACAAAAGGAACTATAAGCTGCTGCATTGTATTAGCACTTCAGCTTTTGCAATTTTAAGACTAGCAACTAATTCTGAAATCCAATTTAGATTTCTAGCTTACTTGCTGCTGTTCACCTTAGAGAAGTCACTGCAGAGGTACAGGCGACAGTGTTTTGACAGAGACAGATCTGTGCTGGAGCAGTTCCACTCAATTTGCAAGAAAGAGCTACGTAAAATTACATTTGGCTCATGAACCGGCCATAAAAAACTACTGTCCACAAGGTGCCATTGTCTGCCACTACTGCCCTTTCTCCTAAGGAGGACCTTGTGAGCATCTTCTCCCTGGACTTCAGATCCAGAACAGACCCTGCCCCAGCTAACCTCTCACCTGGCTGGGGGAACGGTTAGTCTGACAGCATCCAGCTGTATAAGGGGGGAAATCAGCTCCAATCCCATCAGCTCTTTCAGCAAAAGCTGGTGCAGCCCTGGAACAGATTAGAAACTTTTATATGAGTTTTTGCAGCAACAAGTTTCCGTCATTGTGTCTATCTGACTACATGTGTTGGCACCTGAACTGATTTTAAAAAGAAAAACATAAAAGAAAAACCAAAAGATTCAAAAAAATAAAATCAAGTGAGACATCATAAAGCTGAACTACCTTCTTTCTTATGGTCTGTAGGGCAGCTTTGCAAGCCTTGTGTAAGAGATCCTCAGCAGAAGAGTGTGAATGAGTGAACTGATTTTAAAAAGAAAAACGTAAAAGAAAAAAAAAAAAGATTCAAAAAAATAAAATCAAATGAGACATCATAAAGCTGAACTACTTTCTTTCTTATGGTCTGAAGGGCAGCTTTGCAAGCCTTGTATAAGAGATCCTCAGCAGAAGAGTGTGAATGAAAAGAGTAAGCCCTTGTAGCAAATTTATTCTGGACAGGATGGTAATCGGTAACCACAGCCTCACTCACCTTTACCTACTGTTTTAATCCCAGTTCTGCATTGATCACGTATGCTGGAAGTGTTCTGAGAATACCATCAAAGACCTGTGCACTGGCCATGGCACTGAAATGGCTCAAAAAAACCCCAAATATTTGAAAATCATTCTTTTAGGCAGCCCAGCTAGGATTTTCAGAAGTGCACTGGCTGTTTATGCACAAGGGCCTTCAGGAAAAGAAAAAGTACCTTTTAAAGCCGAGATTTTCAATAGTACTTAGGCTTCGTACAGACTGGTAAACAGTACATGCAAGAGAAGTAATAGATCTAGACAGCAAAACAGCTGGTACTGAGTGACCCAGGTGTCATCACTTGGAGTTTATTTCATACTAGAGCTTGTCTGGTCCCACAGGCTGGATGATCACCAGTGATCAGAGTATGTTAAGTGTGTTCCTGCAGGGCATCTCTCAGTTTGGTTTGTAGTAATCTGGGTTCTGCACTCAGAGACTGCTCCGAGCTGTAGGAAGCCTTGCCACAGACCTTCTCTGAAACAGCCCCTTACAACTTTACCTCTTTGACTGTTCAGCCATCTTATTACACTTAATGTCCTTCTTAGCTGTATACTGGTATCATGGAATCATAGAATAAGTTACAGTTGGAAGGGACCTTAAAGATCATCGAGTTCCAACCCCCCTGCCATGGGCAGGGACACCTCCCACCAGACCAGGTCGCTCAAAGCCCCATCCAGCCTGGCCTTGAACCCCTCCAGGGATGCAGCATCCACAACTTCCCTGGGCAACCTATACCCTCATAGTAAAGAATTTCTTCCTAATATCTAACCTAAATATACACCCTCCTTCAGTTTAAAACCATTATCCCTCATCCTATCACTCCACACCCTGATCAACAGCCTGAGCCTTCTCTTCTCCAGGCTGAACAGCCCCAGCTCTTTCAGCCTGTCTTCAAAGGAGAGATGCTCCAGCCATATCTTTTAGTAGTAGCAAATATAAAGCATGTAGACACTCTAAAACAGTATCATAAGATTCACAAATCAGAAAAATGAGCTTTCAGACATTCAGTTCCAGAAAACCTGCATGTTGTACACAACATTTTTCTTTCAAGATGTTAATCACAAAAAGAATGCAATTTTAGCAGATAAACTGCTGGACTCAACAGCAAACAGAACTCCCAAAAAGTAAATTTTCACTGTACATCTGCCAAAGAGAAAAAACAAGGTGGATTTAAAAGAGGTAAAGATCTGGCACTCGATACTTGAATATTTTTTTATCTGAAACTAAAATCTATGCATTGCAATGGCTCCCTAAGTGGTTCAAAAAATGCCTACCATTCTTAATCAACACTGCTTGTACACACAGCACAGCTAAAATCATGCAAAAGCTATTAAAGTAAGACATAAGCCTGGATCAATACTCAGTTAAAAATACATAATTTTCAGATCTAAAAATCTATACTTTTTAAAGCAGTGTTCATCAGCCACACTGATATTTTCACCATTATTTTTCTTTCTTATATTTTAAATGTACATTGGCATCTCCTTTAAAGTACAATACAAAGCCAGATTTGTTTTCTCAATAAAACATACTCTTCGATTCTATGTAAAAGTAAGACTAGGTGTGAAATATCCTCAGATTGTCCAGACTCTTAACAGATCCTCTGTTCCGAGGACTCAGATGGTCGAAGCATACGAGAGCCAAAACTGAGTTACGAACTGCAAAGAAAAAGTTCAAATTTGTTCCGCAGTCAAAAATCACACCTATTAAATCATAACGACATTTCTTGTTTCAAGTTGTGCCCGTTGAGTTGTGTCATGCTAGTCACTGTGTTCCTGGTATTGCTTTTCAGGGAACTCATCTGAATGGCAGAAGAGTTGCGCAAGTAGCTGGCAGATCTCTCTCGCTGAGCTTTCCTCCTGCAGCGAAGCTGGTTGTTGAAATGTCTCCTAAAACTCTCACTGAGAAAATACAGCGCGAAGGGGTTGACACAAGAGTTGCAGAAGCTTAGCACTCGGGCCACCAAGGTGACGACCATGTGTCCCGTCGATGGGTCAATCTCATTGTAATTAAAAGACCGGTACATGTATAGCACGTGGTTAGGAAACCAGCAGATAGCAAAGAAGCCAACAAAAACTAGAACAATTTTTGCCAGACGTTTCCGAGTTTCCATCTAAAAAGACAAAGAGAACCCAAATGAACAACAACAAACAGAACTGCTCCACAACAGACTTAATTAAAACACAGAGCATTTTGCTTTATATTATCTTTAACAACGATCATAAGTAAGGCCAGTAAAAATGCTTCCTTCAGGGGCCGAATTACATTTTCTATCTCATTTACTTTCCTTTCCCACTTTCAGTTTACTTTCAGTGAAAGATGCTATCCGTTTGCAGTCACAGAAGGTTGCTCTTTCTATATGATACACGCAGCAAGAGTGATTCATGACCCAAGTAAACACTGGCGTTTAGCCTGAAAGCACGCACCAGAGGATGCCATGAAACATAACCTTTTCTGATGAGATTTCAGTGCTTGGCTTGAAAGTTAGCTTTAGTTGGAAAGCCATTTAGAAACCATTGGCTTTGAAACGTAGAGACGTTTTGAGTGAAATGGAGAGGCAGTGCTAGGGTGATAGCTATACAATTGGTACTTACATCCCAATAGTTTCCCTGAAATGCCTCAGCTTGCACCTCTCTCCTAGACAAATCTCCAAAACTGCATTGCACAATCTGAAGCACCTTAATTCCAGGGTAAGGTGAAAGGCTCGGTTAATCTTCAGCGATGACGTGAATGAAATGTACCTTAATTGCAGTGCTAAAGTATAATTGGATCACAATGTAGATAGTGAGAGTGGCTGAAAAGTTGACAGGAAATGAGCCTACACAGTGAGTCTGAACCGAGAGAGGGAGAGAAACTGGCCAGATAGAAAGCACCAAAAGGGAGGCAGAAGCTTTCTACATTTTCCTCCCAAAAGATTTATTACGGATGTCAAAGACCAAAGTTTTACAGAGATGGGAAAGTTTTTTGGCTTTGCTCAATTTTCTATCAGTTTTAACCTGAAAAAGTCAAGTGGATTTATTCTAACAGGGTTTCAAGATCTGTGAAATAAATCGGTAAGTAGTTTTCTTGGCTTCATCTAAACCACAACCAGTAGAGAATTCACAAAAGATGGGAAAACTCTACCATTCCAATTTGGTAGGATTTGCACTCAGAGAGATTGCAAAGGCAGACAAAAAGGCACAGAGGTATAGGGTGAATACTACACTTTTGTGCTATGGCCTAAAGAAACATGAGTTGATAGTGATAGTCTGAATTTAATTCCACTTGCTGGGATTTATGTAAGTACACCGGAATTTTCTATTCTTCAGAGCCTCATAGATTGACAAAAAGAAAAAAAAAAACACCTAAGTAGAATGAAAAAATATGTTCTTACTTTGAAAATGCATGTGGGTCCAGAAATGTGATATAAATTAAATATTGTTTCTATCCTGAGGGTTCAGCCAAAGGCTCTCTATATTTCACAGAAAAATAAAATAATACATGAAGTACTAATATGTATGCATTTTTGAGAAGAAACAGGCCAGAGCAGAAATGAAGTGCTGAGCAAAAAGGACATGAGGGAATGTGGTCTTTCTTTTTAAAAGAATATTTACATGCTATATGTGCAAGGAGATTTCAGTTAGCATAAGGTGATTTTATAAAACATTGGCAGAGAAAACCCTTCCAAATTGTTTTAATGGGTATAATTATTTTTCTCTATCAATACTAACACTTTTGTAAAGTAGCTGAGGCACTTTTTCTGCAAATGCTATTGTTTGTGTATATAAATGTTCCTGCTAATGAACAGCCCGTTGCTATTTTACTGCTTCCTATGCCTTACGGGGAAGCTGGCTTTGTCCAGCATTTAAAATGCTTTGTCTCAAAATTACACAGAACCTATACCAAAAATTTGATAGCAACTATAATAGAAAGGGTATTAGAAAAGTGCAAGTTCAGGATTGTATCCCATAAAGATCTACTGAGAAAGCCAAAAATGAATCAGTTCATGCGCTGTGTTCATATTTTCGGCACTCATCAGTCTGAGAAGAACCTTAGATCCCCTAAGAAAAATTTTCCTTCCCTATGTCAGGTTTTTCATTTCCAAGCACAAGTAAAAGATAGAGAATTCTTGAAAAGTTCATGTAAGTTTTCTTCCCAAAATGGCTGCCTATAGAGAGAGGTGAAGCCACTACCATTACCTACAAAAATGTTGTTCCCCAGTAAGAACGCAAGTAATGGTTGCAGTAACAATGCATACAAACACATACACCGACCTCATTTCTTGTTAGGATTACACAGAGATAGCACTGAATTTATATTTTTCCTTGCTCATATTCATTTACATACTGGGCTTATTACTGAGTAATTGTGAAAACAAGGAGATTTTTTGGATAATCTTTGGCTTAGTTCATGCGTGTGGAAACAGAACTAATCCTCTACGAAATCCAACAATTTGGATGTTGTAGTTCCTGTACTTTAATTTGTAAGTGTATACAGCACACAAATCTTTCATCAGGATGTACAAAAAGCAAATTGCTTACCTGTCTTTTGGAATGCTCACTGTACTCTCCGGGGATGTTGTGAGCACTTTTTATTAAACTCTTTGCAATATGATAGTAGTAGATACTGATAATGGCAAGGGGGATAAGAAAATACACCAGGAAAATCAGCACGGAATGGATCTTCGGGTGCATGTCGTCCGTCATGGGGTAGGGTATGCACGCTGTGAAAGTGGCATTGTCCGTGTCATTGATGTGGGCCAGTTCAGAGAAGACCGCTTCAGGAACTGCTAGGAGCATGGAGACCACCCAGATGGCAATGGCTTTGATGCAGGTCCATAGCACCGCACTGGAGGTCTGGATGTCCATGGGATTTACAATTGCTTTGTACCTGAAATTGATCAAAAAGCTGATGCAAGTTAAAAGGTTCCTTTTCAAATTCGACCTGCGATTCATAGAATCATAGAATCATAGAATCATAGAATCATTCAGGTTATGCAAGTTAAAAGGTTCCTTTTCAAAGTCGACCTGCGATTCATGAAGTCACTTCATAGCTTTGATTAAAATTTCGACCTGCGATTCATAGAATCATAGAATCATAGAATCATAGAATCATTCAGGTTGGAAGAGACCCATGAAGTCACTTCATAGCTTTGATTAAAATAACGTCATATTTTGTTCTTATTTGAAATGTCAACAGGTTTGAAATATTTCTTAAATTTGTATTTTCTCAATCTCTAGCTTCATCTGCATATATACTCACCAGGGCCACAAGGATGATCAGGGGGATGGAGTGTCAACGGGTTTGAAATATTTCTTATATATGTATTTTCTCAATCTCTATCTTCATTCAGACGGGTTGATGTAGTGCTGGGAGGTATGGTTTAGTGATGATGCTCCTTGTTTGTTGTGTGGGTGTCTATTTTTGTCAGTTAGGTTGATGGTTGGACAAGATGATCTTTTAAGGTCCCTTCCAACCTAGAAGATTCTGTGATTCTGTGATTCTGTGATTCATCTGCATATATACTCACCAGAGGTGGCAAAAACCTGTGGCCGTAGGCGCCTATTCCATGCCAGCCTGGTGAGAGCACAGAAGCAACCACGACTCCACTCTTTCTTTCCTTCCCAGCAAACCCAGAAACGCACATCCTCCCTCCATACTTCCACCTCACTCTCATACCAGCACACGTACACTACAGTTTGTAGTGTACATCCTCAGCTCCCACAGCCCAGGATTCCCTCCACCACGGCTTTCCCACTCTCAGACCCCACCAGCCCCCCTGGTTGCACAGGGCAATAACCAGCATTAACCACCTCTTGCCAGATCAGCAGTGGCAAAAACCTGTGGCCGTAGGTGCCTATTCCGTGCCAGCCTGGTGAGAGCACAGAAGCAGCCATGACTCCACTCTTTCTTTCCTTCCCCAAATCCTCCCAGCAAACCCAGAAACGCACATCCTCCCTCCATACTTCCACCTCACTCTCATACCAGCACACGTACACTACAGTTTGTAGTGTACATCCTCAGCTCCCACAGCCCAGGATTCCCCCCACCATGGCTTTCCCACTCTCAGACCCCACCAGCCCCCCTGGTTGCACAGGGCAATAACCAGCATCAACCACCTCTTGCCAGATCAGCAACAACTACTGATGAAGAACATCCCAGCACCTCCCCACACACTGATATACTGTCCTGATGGTAACGCCTGGGATATGAGCATCTTCATAAAGTCAGGCAGGAACGACTCCCAATGGCCTGTGCAGAAGTATTAAACTCTTAAAGAAAGGAAACATTTCCACATAAACAATTGGACTACGCCGCGTTTTGGGATACTGTCTCATAATAGATGGCTGCATATAAACCTTTGCAGAATTGATAATTTCATAAGCATTACAATGAAAGCAGAGAGTGGAAATGCCACACTACAGCAAAGTAAAATAAATGAATAGAAGTAGACTGTGATCAGGAATTATTTTATTAAAAAAAAATTGTTGCAGAAGGTGATACGAAGTGTTTAGAAGGTCAAATATACTTTGAGAAGAATGTTTCAAGGATACCTAGATGTTTTGCTCAGAGTTTTAATTATTTTGAAAACATTTCTTTTCCAAACGTATGTAAATGATAGAATCACAGAATCATTTAGGTTGGAAAAGACCACTAAGATCATCCAGTCCAACTGTTAATCCAGCACTGCCAAGTCTAGCACTAAACCACATCCCTCACCACCACGGGTTTTAATGTTTTTATTAAAAACTGAACACTACCACTAAACCACATCCCTCACCACCATGGGTTTTAATGTTTTTATTAAAAACTGAACATTGAACAAATCATTTCAGTTTGTCCAAGCTGTGGTAATTTCGAAGGTTGTTTTATCTGATGTTATTTATTTTATTTTGGCTTCTTCAGTTTTTTGTTTCTAGTTTTGATTTGAGATGGTTGTGGGGTTGGGGCTTTTTTGAAATTGAAGAGGTTTTGAGAAATGGAAAAATGATATATATATTTTTTTTTAAGTCTAAAGAAAAGTGTAAAAGGAAGATGAGAGTCAGGAGAGATTCATACTCTTGGTACATAACCTCACTCATGTTAAGGTCTTTCTTGTCAGTGAAGAAGCGCTTTCAAAGGGTGAATCAGGTC